ACCCGCAGGCAGCGATGCTGAGATAGGGCAGTGCTCAGGTGGCCCGGAGCCGCCCTCACTCACCCACCCAACGTCAGCAGCCGTGTCTTTTTCTCCTGCTGTGCAGTTCGAGGGTCCCTGCAGGGCCTGGCCCCATCCCTGCCCTTCTTATCCCCAAGAGCAGAGCCTGCAGCTGCCTGGGCAGGAGGTGCGAGCACCAGCAGAAGGGATGGCAGCAGTCTCCTTTAAAAAATGCATCCCGTCCTCAGCGAAGCCGTCTATTTTTAGTGCCCTCAGAAGCATGCTTGGTTTTGGAGGAGATGCTCAAGCAGTAATTGTGAATAATTTAGGGAACGGAGTTTGGAGGCTGATGTCAGTGGCTGTGCCACTAACGGACACTGTGCGCATGGCCTGGCTGCTCTGCGCTGAATCCCACAGCGACACGCAGCCATAGGAGCCTCTGTGGGAAGAGCAGTGCTGTCGTGGTCACCCTGTGCCCGGCTGGAGGGGGATCCTTGGAGAGCTATGGCACAGCTCCTCCACCCCCCGACTGCTCGGACTGCAAACTTACCCTGCCATGCATTATTCACACCTCTCATATATAATGCACAGCCCTATACCCACACCTGGCGCACGGCTCGGAGCTGCATGGCAACAGATGGACGTGGCTGCTCACCTCCATCTCTCCCATCCCACACCTCTCACCTGGAGGCCGGGCCCTGCTGCCCATCGCCTCTCTCCTGGAAGTCCTCCGGTGTTCTGCAGAGCCGCACTCCGCCGTTTGCTGCCCTTGGTCCAGCCCAGCAGTGAGAGAGCAGCCAGAGCACCCAGCGCATGCATGGCACCGCCTGCTCCCCTAAAGGTCCCCAGGGCAGCTGCTGCAGAGCGCTCCGTTTGCAACGGAGGAGAAAGCAACGTCCCCTCTGCTCCTGTCTGCCGGTGCCTTAAGAGCAGATTAAAGCCCAGCCCTGCAAATTGCTGACATAACCTATTTCTTAGATGGGTGGACAGGTGGACTTTTCTCCCTCTGCAGATAACTGCATTCAGATGGGAGCGGGTTTGCTCCCTGAGTGCCACCCCACTTGAATGCACAGCAAGGGGGACAACGGCGGTCCCAGCACCCACCGACCCCTCGCCTTGACCCCAGGGCCTCAGGAACACCCAAACCTTTCCTGTTCCTGCAGGAGGAATGACACAGAGCCCCATTTCCCTCCCATCTACCCGCACGTGCAGGCTGTCTGAAGGCAGCCAGGAACGGTGAGAGCAGGGAGATTTGCAAAGCAAACAGCGATCAAACAAAAAGGCTTTGGTTACTGTTCTCGAGGCTGTTTGCCAAGACACACAGATCATATCGGACTCATTTACAGAAGGAAAACCAACGTAATTAGCGCTCAGTAAAACACTTTAATGAAAAAAGCGTTCATGTAGAAAGTGATGGGACACTGCCCAGTGCTGCAGGAGGACCCAGAGCCATGCTGCTGCTGCACTTCCCAGCTCAGCATGGTCACACCGCTGTGCTGCATGCACTGCAGCAGGCAGTAACCATGGCAGCAGAGAGAGCTGCACGTGATATTGGCATTTCTGCAGTACAAAGGAACCTCTTATCTGGGCTGAGCCAATCGTCAGGCTGCTCCTCATTCCTCCACCTTGTGCTAGGACAGAGCTGTGCCACACCATGCCATCCTATGCCATCCCATGTTGTGCTATGCCGTGCTGTGCCATGCTGTGCCATGCTGTGCCTTGCCATCCTGTGCCATTCCATATCATGCCATGCTGTGCCATCGTATGTCATCCCATGCCAGGCCATCCCATGCCATGCCATCTTACGCTATGCCATCCTATGTCATTCCACATCATGCCATCCCATCTTATGCCATCCCATGTCATGTCACTCCATGCCATGCCATCCTATGCCATGCCATTCCATGCCATCCCATCCCATCCCATGCTATGCCAAGCCACGCCATGTCATGCCATGCTGTGCCATTTGATCCCAGCAGTCCCAGCCAGGGTTGGCAATATGTCCCTGTGCAACAGCCCTTCTACTTCACTCTTTTCTGGTTGTTTTTGCCCTACCTGACATTGAACCATAGTGGTTGGAAAAGACCTCTAAGCTCCCCAAGTCTGATTTCCCCCCATGCCCACTGACCACATCCCTTTGACTTCCAGCTCTTCACATGCATCCAGCAACCTCCACAAGGGGGGAAATGGAATGAAATAATCACATGGATATGTAATTCTTCTGATGACTCAAAGCCAACTCGCTGCATGTTGCTCAGATCTCCCCGAGGGATTGGAAACGAACACTTGGAAAGTTTCATCCCAAAACGAGAACAAGTAGATGAGGGAAGGGTGAGAAAAGGGATGTGGTTTAGCAGGCAATATTGGTAGGTCAACTGGATGGACTTAGAGGCCTTTTCCAACCTTAGTGATTCTCTGATCCTATCAAAGGAAGAACGTCACTCCTTGTTTTGGGGTGTTAATTCCAAATGACTGCAGCTGAGATGCAGTCTGAGATGCTCCCCTTTCCAGCAGAGCAAAGCAGGCATCACCCAGCTCCGCTTCGCACCAAGCTGGATTCAGGGGCAGGACTGCAGCCTTGACTCTAAGCAGATCCATGCAACAGAAAAAAATGTATGGACAGAAACAGCATTCATTTTAGGAGCGTGTTGTGCTGGCTGAGATCTCCAGGTTTCGAGATCGAAACGCTTCATTTCATTTCAAGCTTTATAATTAAATGCCACTTAGAGGGACTTTCCATTTATCTTGCAATTTCTTTTAGGCCCAGATCTAATCCCCAAACCTGCTTATTTGTTTTTACTTTCGTTATAACCTTATCGGCGATTAACCTGCAATTGCACTTAATCTTTTTATAAGATTGCTCTCACTATAAATAGAGAAGATACCTGCCCAGGCTCTGGCTGTAGGAAAAGGGAAGCAGGCAAGCGTTTGCAATTATAGACCTCAGCTAAATGGGTGAAATGAGGGAAATAGAAGTGAGGGAGAAGTCTGCAATGCAGAATTTCCAGCGCAGCTATCAGTGCTGGGCTGGCAGTGGTGGCTGCGTGGACAGATTCCCATATACTGCATTAATATTATTAGAGCATCTCATTGTGGATCAATAAAATGCTCAGCCAACATCAAAATGGAGCAAGCAAAAGCTGAAAGGAAATGCAGTGACGATATGTTCAATGGGAGCCAGCACAAAGAGTGCCCATTGTAAGAGTAGCAACAGAGCTGTGGGTTGCAGCAGAGGGATGACTGATGGCCAGCCCCCAGCCAGCAGGATGAACATGGAGCTGCCCTATCCCAACAGCCTTGCATGGCAAAGGGAGATGGGCTGGAAGCCCAACCCCACCTCGACCTTAATTATTACCTGGGAATAATCTCCAAAGCGCTAAAGCCGTAAACAGGTCCAGTGGGGGATGGCTTTAAGCCTTCATGTGCTTCCAGAATTACCAGTTATGTTTCCATTATCTCCTAATGCCGAGTGTTGAAAACTCAAATCCTCGTGCGAGCGTTTGTCACTTCAGAAAGCTTTTTGTTCTTTCTTTCCTCCTTCTGGGAATGGAAGAAGGTTGGGTATCAAGAAAAAGGATGGGTATCAGGCAAAGGGATGGATATTAGGAAAAATGTAAGAGTGGTGAGGCACTGGAAGGGGCTGCCCAGGAAATTGGTTGAGTCACCAGCCCTGGAGGTGCTCTAGAAAGGTTGAGATGTTGTTCTGAGGGACGTGGATTAGTGGGGAAATACTGGTGGTAGGTGGATGGTTGGACTGGATGACCTTGGAGGCCTTTTCCAGCCGAGGGGATTCTATGACAAAAAGGTATGAACATCCTACTAGCAGTGTTACACGGCCTCTGAAACGCGCTGGGAAAGGTGTGAGTTGGTGTGGGTTGGCTTTTTCCCCCCTCCATGGAATCACAGGATGGCTTGGGTTGAAGGGGCCTTAAAGATCATCTCGTTCCACCTGTGTGCCATCTACCTGTCTGAGTCCTGCAGGAAGCTGGGAGGCTGTTTTCTCATTCCAGCAGAGCATAGACCTTTCCCAAAGCATTTTTGTGTTGCTTTTAACAGAGCATTGCATTGCCTTCCCAAGCTGCTCTGCTTCCAGGCACAGGAAACCTGGAATTCTGAAATAAATCCAGAAAATGAGCGGTAATCTAAGTGGTGTTTATTGTAGATAGGGTGGATTATGAAAGCTGTTACAGAGCACCACCAATGTAAACTGTTCCACTAAGCCGTATCAAAATCACAGCAGCACATCAGCCTGACTTTGCCACATTTCCTGGTTTGTTTATAGAGGTATTTCTGTACTGCCAAGCACTTTGCTTCTACCCAGCAGGGAGCCACGTGCAAATAGCTGAGGACACAAACTACAGAGGGAGGCGGGCAGGAGGCTGGGGTTTCCTATGCGATGTTAAGGGCAGCGGCTGCCCATGGGGCATGCTGGAGTTCCTTGACGTTTGGGTTTCTTCCCCCTCCCCAGGAGCTGTTGGCTGGCAGTGTGAGGCCAGGGGCTCCCCCTGTGCACTCACTATGGTGATTTGAGTCTGTGCTTGGCTCCGGATCCCAGCCCAGATCCTTTCCAGATGAGTCACACTCCCGCTGCTTGTGACGACCTTGGGTCCAACAGAGAAGTCTTGTTGTTTTCCCTCCGGTGACTCAGCTTTGGAGGTGAAAAACTCTTCATGCTTTATCTGAGCAGGCACTCATTAACCATTCAGAGACATAAAAAGCTGATTCTTCTGGGCTGTCCCTCCGTAAGATCTCAGGCCTGATATTTAGAGGGAACGTGCACACAGATGCTCTACAGAACAGGTTTCCAGAGCACAGAACTTCGAATCATAGCATCATGAAGGCTGGAAAGACCACTGAGACCATCTAGTCTATCACAACACGTGGCCAACCTAAACCATGTCCCTCAGGGCCACATCCCCACAACTCTGGGACACCTCCCAGGGATGGTGACCCCCACCCCATGCAGCTGTGCCCACCCCTCACCACCTCATACAGCTCTGGGTTCCCTTGGCAGTGGATGAAGGCCTAAGCAGAGAAGAAAGGCAGAGCCCACCTGCAGCACCTATTTAGCAATGCCTACTTCCAATTTGTAGGAATAATTAATGACTGAAAGCTTCTACCCAAGGCATGCGCCCAATTCCTACTCGCGCCACCAGCCCCCACAGCAGCTTGGTTCTCATTTCTCTTCTTTCTTGTCTTCTTTCTCTTCTTCTTTCTCATCTTCTTTCTCCGAGATCTCAGCAGCAAGTATCTCCTCATCCTCTTGGGCTGTTGGAATCACACGGATAGCGACTAAATTATCAGCGGATTTTGAGGATATCTCTTCTCCTGGAGGGGGCCTTGCTTTGGGGGAGGCAGTGGGTGACCTCCGGTGCACCGGTGACTTTGGTGGTATTGGACTGAAACTTGGATCCTGAAGTACAAAGATTAAAAAGGGCAAAATCAGCCTTGGGAGACCCTTGTTCACAGCAGGACCCCAGCCACATCCCCAGACTTCGGCATCCACGCTGCACAAAGACAGCAGGGTGTTTTGGGGAGCTTTACCGCTCACCATGCTCTCTGAGGTGAGCCACGTGAGACTGATCGAATGGCTCAGGTTGGAAGGGACCTCAAAGATCTGCAGCTGGATTGCAACCGGCATGCTTTGAGGTGAGGGAAGGTAGGACGGGCACAACAAAGCTTCCTTGCACCCAAAGCACCAACTCTTGCTTTGTCCCCCTGAGGGCTCTATCATTGGAAAAGCTTTGCAGAGGTTCCCAATGGGCCCATACTCATGCCCTGGCTTCACCAGAGAAGGGGGTAGCTCCATCAGTATAGCAATGTGCTCTGGGGAGGGACCTGCACGAAGCCTCACCGTGCCTTCACAAAGCACTGTGCTCAGCACCTCTCCGGGTATATTACCTGCAGGCTGCATTGCATTCCTTCCCAACTGTTGGCCCATCTCACTCTCCCCATTCTGACCTGTGCCTCCTGCATCGCCTTCAGCTGCCTCAGCTTCCAGCGCAGCTGTGCCAGGTGCCCTCTGCCTCCTGTCTTCCCCACAGCCGCCAGAGCAGCCTGGAAGAGCTTGGGGGTGTCGGCTTTGGGGGGAATGATCAGCGGGTCTCCAGGCCCTCCTTTCTCATCTTTGGGTTTATTATTGTTTTTCAGCATTTTCCTGCAGCAAAAAGAGATGATGTCAGGATAGGGTTAGATCAGCTGGGACTGAGAAACCTCCCCAGTGGCTTTCAGACCAGCACTCCATCCTGCAGTCCATACTCACCTGGCCTTTTTACGCAGCAGCTTCTGAGACTCAGGGTAGTGCACCAGAATCTCATTCAAATCCTTCTTGTCCAAAATGAAAAGATTGGCAAATCCATGAGCCACGACGTTAGCAGTTCGGCGATTCCCTCCTCCGGCTGCCAGCAAGCTGAGTGGAACACCAAGAGACTTAAGCACTGCTCCTGTGTCACCTTCAGCTGCCGCAGCCAAAGCCCACGGAGCTGTGGGTGCCCATCCCTGGAGGTGCCCCATGGATGCCCATGGATGGGCCCTGGGCAGTGTGAGCTGGGCTTGGAGCTGGGTGGGCTCCTCCAACCTAAGCCATTCTAATGGGCTCAGCACAGCACCCTTTCTATAAAATCTTCCTCTTCCCATCATATGCCTCCAGTTCTCTCTTTTAGAGGACTCAGGGTCTAATTATTATTACCCACAATGAAACTTTCCAAGCCTCATTTTTAAAGAACGAAACGCTACATAAAATCCCACCTGCCCTCTGAAGTTTTAATATTGCAGTCTGAACCAGCCTTGAGTATGATGGGCTGTGGGTAGGCAACCAGGATGCTACATGCCCATGGCCCCTCAGAGGGCTGTGTCCTCCCAGCAGTGCTTTGCTGACCTTATTTCTCCAAACACCGATCCGGCTTTCAGTGTCACCAGCACAGTTTTGCCATCAGGTCCCCCCAGCACCTGCACTTGTCCTGCCTGGATGATGTACATCTCACGGCCGATTTCCCCCTGTAACAGAGATGGACGCAGTGCGGGCTGCCCAGAAATGGGACACCCATCCCACACAGCAGCTCGGTACCTTCTTGCAGACAAAGTCATTGGGCAGGTAGACCACCGAGCGGAGCCTCTTCAGCATGTCGAAGATCATCTGTCTGTCACAGCCCTGAGCACAAATGGAGCCAACAGCAGTCAGCCCGTGCCAATGGAGCTGGGCACCACGGGACAGAGCCCACCCTGTAGGCATACCTGAAAGAGGGCCACTTTGCTGACGATGCTGTAGTTCACATCGATGGCGATGTCCAATCGCATCTTGTCCGGCAGCTGCACCAGCAGCTCAGACTCATCTGTGAGATGCAGAATAGAAAACTGTGTTTCCAGCACTTTCCCAATAAGCTCAGCACCCAGCACTGCAGTGGGGATGGGTGACACCTCAGCTCTGCGTCCCATCAGCAGCCCATGCGCAAGCCCGTATCCAATACCATGCACACCATATATATGTATAGGGAAAAAGAGTTAAATAACCCTCTCCTGCCCCAAACCCATAGTGCTGTTTGTTTGGCTGCTCTTTGACAACTAGATTCCAGCAAAGCAAGTGTAGTAAAATGCACACGGAGCATGATGATGGCCCTCTGAGCACAACGTGGCCCTCCAAGAGGCTCTCACCTAGCATGCCTTGTGAATGCCACGTGTACTCGTACCACGTTTTGACTCGGTTCTGGACTGTTCTGGGGATTCTGTAGAAGTTCATGTACTTGATGGTGCTGTCCATGCAGCTCCGGTAGTACGTCTGCCCGGCAGTGGCAGCACCCACCACATCCCTCATCTGCAGGTCAGCAAGAGTAGGAAGAGATGGATTTAGTCGCTGTTATCACCTCTCATATAGGTGAAGCAGCTCAGGGAGCATTAGCTGTGTGCTAACAGGGGGCTCGCGGCATCCACCACATCCTTTGTGCTGAGCAGCTAAGGAGCCCCTGCACGGGGAGCACAGACATGCAGGTAACACTGTGGACCGACCCCAGCTCAGAGCCTATCTCCCATCCGAGATGGGCCCCCCTCCACTCACCTGCCCAATCATGACAGAGAAAGCAAAGACGCCCGTGAAGTAGTTGAGCAGCTGGAAGACGATCTCAAACAGCGTCTTGGGATCTGGCAGGCCCCCAATGGTGATGAGGGTTTTGACTGCCCAATAATAGCAGCGGATGTAGCTGGGAGGGGCAGAGGATGCAGTTGTGGTTACGTTTCAGGCATGAAACCCCTCAAACCGAGGTCACCATCCACGTACCATGCTCATAATACAGCCCATAGTACAGCAGGAAACACCGACAGTCACTGTCCCACCTACACGGTGTGGTAAGCCTTTAACACACTTGCACAAACCTTTATTTTTTCAGCCAGCTCTCATTTATTGCACAGGAGAATGGTGCTGAATTAATTAAACATTATTTGATATCTCATTTTGCCCGTGTTGTACAACACACAGCTGTGGGCATTACTCACCAGGCAGCATTCAGCTCATGAGCCAAGTGCTGCATGTGCAGTGCTCTCTCCTCCTATGGCATCCTTGTCCCCAGCACTGGGCTCCCAGTTTGCAGCCCCTTTGACCCATCATTGCTGTAGGTCTCAGCTCAGCCACAGCCCTTTCACCTGCTCTGCCCACACCTCTCAGCATTCAGCATCTCACCCTCAGCATTCCCCACATCTTCTCCTGGGTCCCCCCACAGTGGACACAGGTGATGGGCTGATGGCTGGATTGGATGATCTCAGTGGTCTTTTCCAGTCTTAATGGTTCTATGATTCTACAACCCTTGCCTCAGAGATTTGTACGAACCCAGCCACAACCAAACACATTTCTTGCTCCCATCCATCAGAGCATGCTGTGCTACGTGAGGACCCAAGCTCTGTCTCATACCTGTTTCCTTCCCCATCGTAGACCCAGGTGGTGGAGCCCAGTCCTTCGTAGGCTGATGCCCAGTAGTAGAGGCAGGAGTTCACGTGCAAACTGTACAGCAAGTAGGCAGTGGTCCGAATCACTCTGCACAACAAAAAGTACAAGGAGTGAATGGGAGGGAAGAAGACATGGTGTCTGCTGGGACAAACACGTGGCATTGGCTCTGGGATCACAAGGGACAGCAAGCTGTAGCCTTAGGGCAAGACAGAAAGACAGGACTGGTGTGTGCCAAAACGAACCACTTTCCCCAGTAACAAACAGTGATAGATATCACCACCCTCCACAAATGATCCCCCTCACCTGTAGATGTACGCCTTGCTCAGAATGGCCTCCAGGCGGTTGTTGAACTCAAAGAAGGCCAGGTACTGGGAGGAGAAGGAGAGCAGAGCTCTGGCATGCCGTGGCTTCCTGAGAAGCCACCATCCAGGGGACACATCCCCACAGCGACATCTTGTGAGCCCAGCTGCCCAGGATCCCTCCACAGTATGAACAGCCACGGGTACAATTGGTTCCATCTGTCCCCACCCTTCTTTGGAAATGTGAGAGTGATAAGATGGAAATATTGACCTGTAACAGCCCCCGAAGGCCTTTGGAACAAAACTTCCCATCCATTGTACAGCATCCTCTCATTGAGCAGTACGGCTGTGGCCACCCAAATCAGCATGGGGCTTTTCCACTCACCTTCAGGCAGCGGGGAAAACGCAGGAGAGGGTTGACACCGACTTTGAAGTAGAAGAAATCCAAGGGAAGGAGGCACACCACATCCATCTGAAACCCGTACATAGACAAGGACACTGATGGGGACCTGCAGGCCCAGTGGGGTGGAACTACAGGCCATGTCACAGACTGGAGGCACAGAGTAATTAAGTCACACTAAACCTTAAAGCGTTGCGATCGCAGGTAGTTCTCTTTCATGGCCTTTTTGTCACTCTGGTTGGGAATAGCAGGAAAGAGAGGGAAAGAGAGGTAGGTTATCTTAGATGTCTTTTCCAACCTTAAGGATTCTACAACTGTGTGATCGAATGCTGTTTGCGGAGAGCAAGGTCACCACCAATGTGGTCGTGCTTGGCTTTGCCCTTCTTTACCACAATGGGGAACCCACTCCTGTTGTGCATGGAAGGGGAGCAGAGGAGGAGGAGCACAAGACCTGGCTGCAGGCTTTCATCTCACCCTTTTTCAGGACAAGCCTTGTTCATTTTTCACCCCAGAGGAACTGCACTGCAGTCCTAGCACCACAGAAATCAGAGCTTACAGGAGAAACCTCAACATCTGGGTCTTCCCTGAGCAGACCAAGCCCCAATGGGAAGGTGAAGGTCAACCCCACCGTGGTGGCAGACACCAACAGCCAGACCACTGGTGCTACTGCGGGTGATAGGTAGGATTTCCCCACAGCCACGTCCCTCTGTGGGATGCAGTGCATGCTGCCACTCACTATGATGTCTCCTCCTCGGACAAACTGCAGGCGAGTCTGAAAGACGATGATGTCCAGCAGGTAGATGAGGTCACACAGGTAGTCCATGAGCAGCCAGTAGTAGATGTTGGTTGGCGTCTGGTAGGGGAAGGCCCAGCGGACGGGGATCAGCCAGCAGTTCCAGTTCCAGGCCAGGACAACAAAGAACAGCCATAGCACGTACACCAGGTCTGAACACAGGGAAACACGTTGGCTGCGCATCCGTCTGCCATGCAAGCCCACACCTCCCATAGACCAGGCTGCCCAGTGCCCCATTCAGCCTGGTCCTGGGCACCTCCAAGGATGGGGCACCCACAGCTCTGGGCAGATGTGCCAGGGCATCACTGCCCTCTGAGTAAATCCTGCTGCCCGCTCTGCCCCTCCATGTCCCACCCAGCCTCCTCCCAGCCCGACTGCCTCCATCTCTCACTGGTGAGTGGGTCGATGCTGCTGGGGAACTGGTAGTTTTTCAGGCGGTCCATCCAGGGCTGGCACTTGAAGGTGCAGCACAGCATCTCACAGTAGTGCTCATCCTCCACTGGCTTTTCCCCCACCTGTGCATCCCCCGGGGGTGGGGGTGGTGCTGTGGGTGCTGGCTTGGAGGGTGCTGGGAGAAAATCACAGAATAGCTTAGGTTGGAGGGGTTCCAAACACCTCCTGCCACCAGCCTAGGCTGTCCAGGGTCCAATCCATGGCCTCAGGCACCATCAGGGATGGGGCACCCGCAGCTCTTGGGCAGAAGTTTCAGTGCCTCGCCACTCTCTGAGTAGAGCTGTAGAACCACAGAACATCCTGAACTGGAGGGGACCCATAAGGAGCACAGAGGCCTGCCCCTGGCTCCACGCAAACACAGACCTGATGTGTGAGTGCAGTATCCCAATGCTCCTCGGGCTCCAGCAGCTCAGGGCCATGCCCACTGCTCTATGGAGCTGTTCCATGCCTCTCGTCCCCCACCCTGCACGTAGAGCCAGGGCTGCCCCATCCCAGGTGCCAAATCTGGCATTCCCAGCCTCCCAACCCAACCTGAACTCACATGCTGTAGGGCTCTCTTCATCAGAGGTGACATCGGGGTCAGTCAGCTTCTCCTTCACCTTCTCTGTTCGCTCCTTGAAGAGCCTCACCAGCTCTTGCAGGCGGTCATGGATGACAGTGCTGCTCTGGCTGGTGGCTGAGCCGATGCGTTCAGGCAGGCTGTGGGGTGGGAAAGCACAGGGCACATCCAGAACTGCTCCCTCTCCCTCTGATGTCCCAGTGTGTCCAAGACCTGCACTATTTCTGCCACCATGTACCTGTCCTGCTGCTCCTCATCCCAATTCCCTTCTGCCAGGCCATCTGCAGAGGCTGGCACCTTCCTCCTGCAGACACAAAGCAAAGCTGTGCTGAGTTGCAAGCCTACACACCCCCAGCCTGCATCTCCTGTGATGGGAAGCAAAGCCAGTGTCACACAGTGTGAGTGGTGCAAGGGCAGCACAGAGCTCTGCCCCATAACTTTCCCATTTTGGGGCAGTGAGTCTGTTTCCTTGCCATGGGAGATGCTCGGGGCTGAATATAGCAAAGCCATGGCTGTGGGTTGCTGGGACCCTGGCTCTGAGCGTGCCTGAGACGTGGGGCGTGCATGAGGTGGGATCAGCCTGAGTTGCTATTTCCTACTTCTGATGACGGTCTGAAAGGACGCCCGACTCCTGGATGCTGATTCAAAGGCGGTTAAACGGCGCTTCTCAGCCCTCTGCTGGCAGCAACTGGCAGCGCCACCGAGAATCACACAACCGTCGCAAAACGGTTGGGTTGGAAGGGACCACACAGCCCACCCATCCCCAGCCCCTGCCAGGACTGCCTGCCCCACACCTCAGGCTGCCCAGTGCCCATCCACGGCCTGGGGCAGCTCCACGATGGGGCACACACAGCTCTGGGCAGCAGTGCCAGCGCCTCACTGTCCTCCGAGGGAAGGATTTCCTCCTGACATCTAACCTACATCTCCATCTTTCTCCAATTTGGAGATAAGGATATGCTGTAGGACCATGTTGAAAGCCTTGCACCAGCCCAGGGAGACAGCATCAGCTGTCTTCCTTTTTTCAACATCATGCCCTGCAAACACAACCACACAGCCATCCTTCATTCCCCACTCCAGCACTGAGGCAGCACACACTGGGGTCGGGGGTCCCTACCTGGGAGAGGCTCCAGGCACCACCAGCATGTGTGGGGAGCCGGGGGTGGGCAGTGACAAGCAGGTGCCATCATCCTCCACGGGGTCACCTCCACCATCCACGTCCTCGATGCCCACAGCGGGGCAGCACCTCAGCCCTGGGGGGGACAGGACAGAGTGAGGGGTGTCCCATAGCTCAGTGCCCTGCCAGACACCCGTCTTCCTGTCTGCTCAGCACGAGTGGTTTTGTGGGATTGCTGGAGGGAGAAAGTGTGCGTGCAGTGGGCTCAGCAGGACGTCTGGGGACAGCCAAGTGGGAGCCGCCATTCGTGGCTGGTTGTTAGGGGCTGAGCCAGCAAGGCACATCGTGGTGAAGCAGAAAAAGAGGAATGTCATTCCCCAGCCTCTGTGCTGCAACATGAAACGTGCTTTTATTTTGTGTTTCTACACAGGAAGCAGCTAGGAACAGCGCCCACCCCCAAGCCACGCAAGCCCATCACCTAATACCTAAGGGGTGGGCAGGGGATTGCTCCTCATTGCAAAAATTGGGGTTGACCACTCCAGCCTTCCACCTGCCGGCAGCAAGGACGGGGATGCGGTAGCTGGGGACATTGGGGAGCTGCTCTAGCATGGGGTGGGACGCGTCCCCGCGGTCGGGCGGCGTGTCGTGCACCAGCCGGTCTAGCTCAACATCTCGGGAGCGCTTGGCCATGCTGCTAGGTGCCTAGGTGCTTCAAGCAGGGGCAGGGCTGCAATGAGAGACAGAAGGGTCGGAGACAGGACGGTTACGTCAGCACAGAGACGCGGGGCTGGTGGTGGTTTGTTGGCATTGGCAGCACGGTGAGCTGTGTGCGCCCATGGGCACAGCACTGCAGTGCCTCTGCATGCTCAGCCCATCCTGACCCAACGCCGCGCTGCTCTGCGCTGTACCTGCAGTGTCTGCTCCTGCAGTTTCTTCCTGCACCGCCTGCTCTTGCACCTTCAGAATGGAAAAGGAAACAGAAAGCCATGTGAAGGAGAAAAACAGCCGTTGTGGTGTGGTGATGTGGAACCAAAGCTGAGCCCGGGGTGCACCTGGAGCTCCGTACCTGTATGAAAGCGCCTTCCAGATCGCTTATCTCAGCTTCTTCCTGTCGTGCAAAGCTGAGGGCCTCTTCTGCATAGAAGGTGTCCTCTGGCCCCTCATCTGTGGAGGGGCACAGGGAATGGAGCAGGGCCCTGCGGGACAGACGGAGCACAGTTGGAGCTGAGCTGGGCACGGTGAGGCAGCCCCCGGGGTCCAGCCACAGGGCACCAAGCCATCCATTGCTCCAACAGCAATGCACACATCTTGGTGTAGCACACCTTTCAGGTTGGGAGGCTTTTCAGGACCTCGCCACCCTGACCTAGGAACCTGTTGACATCTGTGCTTTCCCATAAGCAAGCAGAGAAGAGGATGGAGAGTGCCTCCTTCACTCAACTGCTATAGCACAGGGGACCAACAGCAGCGTGCAAAGCACACCCACAGTGCTGGGTTGGATATCTCACCGTGTGAAATCACAGCGAACCACAAACCGAGCAGGAAGATCCCTTTAAATACCCCCTGCTCTGAAGCCGCTGCCTGCAGTGTCTTTTTTCTGCTGCAGGAAAAGAAGCAAAAACGCACCTACTGTTCCTCGGCAGCACTTGCTGTCTTTGCATCCAGCTCCGACCTGCTCCCAGCGATCCCAAATGGACGCAGTCATGGAGCTGGCGGCAGCGCCGTGCCCCGGGATCAGGCACAGCCCAGGGCTGCGGGCGCTGTTGCTACGGTGGCTGCGGAGCCGGAGCTGCCGTCTCCAGGAGATGCGCGCAGCACCGGGAGAGCGTCAGCAGCAAACCCAGCAACCAGACGGATTGCGAAAGCATCCCCATGGCCGCGTGCCCTGAGAGCATCCTCCCAAAGCATCCCCAAATCACCCTCCCCCAAAGCATCACACATGCATCTGAGCCAAATGCTGCTTGCATGCTGGTCTCCTTCCCCTGCGCAGCACTCACCCTGCGCTCTCCTCCACCTCCACCTCCTCCTCCTCTTCCTCCTTCTTCTCCTCCTCTTCTCCCACCTCCTCCTGCTCTTCAGCTGCACTTGGGGCGCAGGGCCACAGCCTGCAGCCAAAGGAGCAGCTCATCAGGTGAAACGCATAAAATGGGGGCTGAGCTGTGCCCTCCTGCTCAGGCTGCCTAGGGCCCCATCCATGGCCTTGGGCATCTCCAGGGATGGGGCACCCACAGCTTTGGGCTGCAGTGCCACAACCTCCCCAGAACCCCATGACAAATGGATGGCAGTGAGGTCTAAACCCTTCAGCCATACTGGGAAGACCCATTCTTGGCCATCCTGTAGATCCTGAGAGCGCCAGGAGAAAAGCAGCCCCCTGTCCTACCTGGTCTCCTCCTCTTGCAGCTCCTCCTCGATGGGGGGAAAGGGACAGCCCTGTGTCCCCAGCTCAGCCATGTCATCCCAGCCCGCTGTTTCATGCGTGCCTTCAGCACTCCAGCCATCATCAAGCTCCTCCAGAGCAAGGTCCATCTCTTGGGGCTCCACAGGGACAATATGAACTGAAAAGGGATTGGGGAAAGCTCTGCAGCGCTCAGCCCCACGCTTGGCTCCAGTGGGCAGTGCCACAGGTACTGCTGGAGCTCCCCTGGCACCCCACTATGCCCCAGCATTGCCTGTATGGGGCTGCAAAGTGCATGGCTCCACACATGTGTACCCAACCAACAGTCAGGAAGGATAAGGACATCAGTGTGTGTAAAACCAATTTATTGTGGGGCACTGGGGGGAATTCATACATCCACCGTGAAACCAAGAGGAGACATACAAATTGCAATACAGAAGGGCAGAAAACCCAGTTGTGCCATCTGCCCTTCACTATATGAAGCTGGGGCTCGGTTGGGTCTCTTCATCATTGTCCTAAAGGGATGTGGGGATGGGGTGTGTGCCTAATGCTTGGCACTTGGGGCTCCTGCCCACCCCAAATCATGAGCCCCAAGCCCTGTTTCCGCTGTGCCCGGTGCTGCTGCCTTTCCTCCCCAGTTGCCCTCTCTCCATGGCTTGATCCCATGTGCTGGGAGCACTCCACTGTCTTCGTTTTCCATTTGTTTCAGAGGCGCTAAGCCCCTTTGCCCCCTGAAACAAAAGGAGAAGGAAAACATTAGGGAGCTGTGGGTTTGTGCTGCAGCTCAGTCCCTGCGCTCATGGCTGGCAGAGCAGCTGGCACAGAGTATCTCGGGGTGCCCTACAGGAGCAGCAGCACAAACCCCACTGCTCTTCCCTAAGAGAGCACACACTCACATGCCATATATATAAACCCCCCAGCAGCAGGAGCTTGCTTTCCTCAGGTACCCTCTCCCAAAATCTGACAACAGAAGGGCAGGGTGTCAGAGGTGAGTACTTACTTTCCTCCACAGGGCTGAAGGCTGTGGTGGCTGCTCCCTGCCAGGAGGAAAGGGCAGTGTCAGGCATGATTCCTGCCCTCCATTCCCACCCCAGGGCCTGCTTTGCCCTCCCACCTGCAGCAACACCGCAGACCCAGCAGCAGTATCACACTGGGAGAGGCCCCACTGATGCCCCAGCACACCCAACCAGCCCCACAGCCCTGCACCCAGCACAGCTCCCTTGCTTCCCAGCATCTCCCTGCAGACCCCATACCTGCACATCCTGCTTCTCCCTGGGCACGGGCTGCGGCATCACCTTCTCCAGCCCCTGGACGAACCATCCGAACATGCTGCCAAGCAGAAACCCCCCCATCAGACCCCACACTGCTCCCACCACATCCCCACCAGAATTGTCACAGCCCATACCTGCCGCTGTCCCCAGCCAGGGACCGAGGGAGGAGGGTGGTGTTCCCTGGCTCTGGCTGCCCTTCTGCCACTGCCGGCTCCACCATTCCTGGGATGTTGTCTTTGGGCTTCACCCGAGTTTTAGTCCCTTTTGCACCTGCTCAGGTTTGGTTCCAGAGAGCAAGGGGTCAGGCAGTGCAGGCATCACCTTAGGGGGCACTGCACGTCCCTGCAAAGCGCTCACCTCCTGCTGTGGCACTGCTCTGCTCCTTCTTCAGCTCAGGCTGCAGACAGAGGGATGGACGTGGCCATTTGCTGCTGTCCCAGTGCGCTCTGTGTGTTGCCTCTGCCCTCCCCCCCACCTCTCAAGACCATGTCTGGCCCCAATGGGTTGCTTGAGTGTTGGAGCGGGCAGAGAATGCCCAGGGAAACCCCTCATTGCCTTGGGAGAGGAGGCTGCAGCACCACAATGCTACAGCAGCACCCACAGCTGTGCTCACCTCGGGCCTTTTTGGCACCTCTGGCTGCGGCACCATCCTCTCAAAGCCCTGCACCAGCCAGCTCAGCACACGCGCTCCTGCCCTGCAGGGAGAGCAGGTGTGGTCAGAGCTCACCCCATATCCTGCACCCCACATCCTGCATCCCTCCATCCCACATCTCACACCCTGTGTCCCTCCAATCCTACAACTGTCCATCCCACGTCGTGTCAGACAATCCCAAATCCTGCATCTCACATCCCATGCCTACCTCAAATCCTGCGTCCCACAACTTGCATCCCTCATCCCACAATCCCTTATCCCAAATCCCTCATCCTACAATCCCTTATCCCACATCCTTCATCTCCTATCTCACATCACTCCATCCTAAATCCAATATCCCACATTCCACATCCCTCCATCCTATATCCTACTTCACAGATAACGCATCCTACATCCTGTATCCCTACTCCCCATATCTCACATCTCTCCATGCTGTGTCTGTCCATCCTAAATCCCACACCTCACATCCCTCTATCCCATATCCTGCATCCTGCATCTCACATCCTGTGTCTGCCCGTCCCATATTCCACATCCCTCCACCCCATGCCACCCCTCTGCCTGCTGATGGGGTGCTGCACACAGGGAACCCACCAGCTCTCCATGTCCGTGCCCAAGCCATCCTCCAGCTCACAGCCATCCAGCTCATCCTCCTCGGGGTCAAAGGGTGTTATCTCTGCAGGGAGAGCAGGATCACATGTGCAGGAGCTGGCAACCAGGAGGGAACCTCAAACCATGGTCTCACTGCTCCCCTTACCCAGAGCATCCTCATCCTCATCCTTGAGGACCTGCACCTCTGTCTGGAAAGGCAGAAAGTATTACCTGGTGGGGCATGGGGAGAAATCTGCCCTTTGCCCAGAGTTGGGTGAAGGCAGGATGCCACGTGGGGCAGAGGGATCTCCCCCTGGTTTGGGGATCTTCTAAAAGAACCCAGAAGCCAGGATGTGGGGACAGGCTCACGGCCCACCTGGTCAGGGACATCAACACTGGTCTCGAAGCTCTTCCCAAGCGCTTGCAGTGACCCTGGGGCCGGTGCTGGCTGTGGTACCACCTTCTCCAGCCCCTGAGAGATCCAGGACAGCACGCTGCTCCCCACGCTGCAGGGCAGGGCTGTGTCAGGCGGGCGCAGGGCAGCAGTGTCCCCATCCCCACTGTACCCCAATACCTCTCAAACACTGATGCTGATGCAGGGGCCGAGTCCTCAGCGACTGTAAATTCCACCTTCTTCTCTGTTTCTTTGATAACAGCTGGAAAAAGGCAGCTCCTGTCACTGCTCCACATGCAGGTTGAGGGTGGGGGGCTTAGCAGAGCTTACCCTGCGTGCGGTCCACAGCATCCCCTGTGCTGGCCTTCCCTGCTGGCACCTGGGGTGAAAGACAGCCTCAGACCAGAGGTGTTGGCTGGTGAAGTCCCCAAAGCCTCCACCAAAGGGATGCTGTGGGCTCTGGCTCTCCGCCTTCCTGCTCACCTTGGCAGGCTGTAGGGCTGCAGGGCTCTCCTCAGGCAGGTTCTGTGCTGGGGGCTGTGGGACCACCCGCTCAATCCAGCCCAGCATTGCCGTGCAGTGGGGACGGCCGTCCCCAGGACAGTCCTCTTGCACAGGTCCTGGGCTTCCTTCCTCCTTGTTTCTGCTTGGGCACAGCCAGACCGAGGCCGACTCAGTCCCACACCTCATCCCTGCCATGAGCCACCCTCCCTGCTTTATTTAAGCTCCTTTGCTCAGCACACACTGTACTTCTCTGTTCTTTTCTCACCCCGCTTGCTGTGGCACAGTGACCTGGTGGCAGCTGAGTGAGGACATCTGAGGGCTCATACTGAGGATATCTCCTGATGTTCCCTCTCCAAAGAGCCTCACTCTGCCCCAAATTCCCATCCCATTCAGGCCTCTATCTTCTTGCCTGAGTGTTGGTAAAGCCCACACCAGGGGCCTGACGACCAGAAACCAACTAAGAAATTGCCTTTCACCCCCCATGGATATAAGGGATTAAGGAGCTGTGAATAGAGACATTATCCAGGGGACAACAGGGACAGCAAGGAACACCGTGCAGCACACTGCCATTCCCACCACACTTTGGAACACTTGCAGCTCCTGCAAGCAGCCCAGGGACAACGCCTGCAGCTCATTCACCCCATGACCCCATGGCCCCGGACACCCCATGACAGCTCCTGCTGACCCCAAGCCCACCCCAGCTCCCCAAGGATTAGCACCGCACTGCCTGCAATTGGGATTACCAACACCAGCTGTCCCCTACTGCCCACCTCCTGGCTGCCACCCCGACTTCAGTGCTAAAAGACCCCAAAACAGAGCAGCTGAGAGCAGCCTAGAAAGCCCAGCAGCCAGCAGGTCAACCCCAGGCACTTACTGTGGGGCCACGAGCAGCACTGCTGGGTCCTGGCCGCCCTCTGGCTGCGGTGTAAGGAGGAACCCCAAGTGTGAGGCACCTGTCCGGCTGCGCTCAGTGCTGGCCTGAAGGATCTGGGGCAGGAGGCAACAAATCTGCGCTGGGCTGGGTTAAGCCTTCCCTTGCTGAGCCTGCCAATTGCTGCTTGATCCGTTTACCTCCTGCCCAGCAGCACCAGCGGCATTTCCCAGTGCCCCTAATCCCTGTGTGAGCGCGGGGACCCGGCGTGTTTTTGTTTAAAGGATGTGCTGTGACATCAAGTTAAACTATACAGTACTTCTTTAATGAATATTAACAAACTGCTTTAAAAAAAAAAAGGAAATAAAATAAAACAACAACAAAAAAAGAAACGCGGACAGAAAACTCGGTAGGAAGTTCTACATCTCTGATGCAGCATGAAGTTAGGATGAGCGAAGGTCCCTCTTCCCTGGGCAGCAGAGAGGAAGGTCTGTTTGCAGCTCTGGGAAGCTGTGCGTGGACACAGCCCCGAGGCCACTGAGTGCCCCAGCCCCGTGGCCGTGCACGCTGCTCCTCCTCTGCGCTGGAGATGGAACTGGAAGCTTCTCTCCACCTTTTAGTGTCCACCATCTGCAAAGCAGGCACGACCCAGCTCTGTGCAAGGTCCACCTGCCTAGACTTTAAACTCGTCCTAATCACCAGCTCAGCATGCAGGCAATCTGCGGGCTGCTGTTTGATAACTAGAGCCGGTCGGAACACCTCTGGCTCACCCAATGGACAACCCAGGGCACAGGAGGGCTGAGACTGGACCTGCACCGAAGCTGGAGCAATATGGCAGGTAGTCCAGGACCACATCCAGCTGGGCTAGAGCACAGAGGGTTGTAACATTCTGATATCTCCAAACACGGAGAGGGGAAGGCTGGTAGCAAGGCGGCAGGCACACCTTCAACCCTGAGGGCATCCAGCTGGCACCTCATGGGGCTCTTGGCCATAGGAAGCCAGCAAAATCCTGCAGAGGAAAACACCTGAGGCTGCACCAACCTTGCTAGGGGAGATTTATTTTTAAGTGACGTTTACAAGAACTGTGCAAAACCTGAAAAACGGAAGAGGTAAAGAAAGAGTAAAGGGGTAAATCAGGACGCCTGCAAGAGGGGAAAAATAACCCCTCCTTTATCCACTGCTAACCTTCCCCTTTCCCTGGATCCGACCCCATGGGGCAGGAAGGGTCCTCCCAAACTTCTTCTGGACAGAACTGATTCCCCCCAGCAAATCAGACACCCCAGAGCACCACGTGGGTCACCACCGGAGATGGCCGAGACCATTCCTGCAAAGAGGCTGCAGGCTCTTTGTAGTGTTCACCTCACCCCTTAGTGTTCAAGCTGCGGGGACGTCCCTGTGCCCGACCCCGGAGGTGCGCTCATGGCCCAAGCAGAGCAGGGAGGGAAGGAGCCTGGGAATGGAGGTAAGTCTTCATGGGAGAACAAGGTCCCTCCGGAGGCAGCTGGTCAATGCCATGCTCACAACCAGGAGCGGAGACTCTCCTTACCACACTCTGCAGCATGTGATGCTCGGTACCCTTCCCTCACTGCCAGCAGGGATGGGGATGGGCAGGCTTGCTCAAAACTATTCCCTAGTGTGACAGCCACCAACTGCAGGAGCAGCAATGCCAAAGTGTATTTTGGAGGTGTGCAACCCCACGACTTTTCCCTTTCCATGCTCTAGAAAGAAGGAGAGCAGGAGAGGTCGGGGCAGTCGATAAATGCTAATGGTCTGAAACGGTCCCCTCAAGTCACTCGTTTGAGTTTGGATTAACAACACTGGGAGAGCCCAGCACGGAAACCTGCCACAACCCCAGTGAGCAGCACACCCAGAGGGAGCGCTCCACTTTGCTCCCAAGCACTCTCTGCAAGAGGAGTCACCAGGTGGGACAGGGAAAAGAGGCTGCATGCAGAGGGCGGCCGAGCAGAGCCCTGCCAGCTCCCGGCACTGCAACATGGGTACAGCAGGAAGCGCAGTCCAGGGGACACCAGGCAGCTCCAGGCATCGCTTCCTCTCATCACCTCCCTCCTCTCCTCTCCACTCTCTCTGAGCCTTTGACACCGTCCTTCAACCCCTGTGCTACAGTGGGTACAGACCACAGAGGCCAGAGGAAAGCTTCCCCGCCCGTCGGACCTCCCCTTTCCCCCAGCACTCCCTGGAGGCCACCTCCAGCTGAGGAGAGGGAAGGGGAGGCCGAGGCTCGGGAGCATCACATGCAAGCTGAAAGCCACCAGGGGCAGGAGGCTCACGGCAAGCAGGCGGCCACCTGGTAGGCACCCTCGGCCGTGTGCTGGACGCTGTGCTCCTGCAGCAGGCCCAAGTCCAGGAAGCGCTCCCCGCACCACATGCACTTGTACTGCTGCTCGCGGGCGTGCACGCTGTGGTGCTTGTTGAGGTGCTCGCGCTGCTTGAAGGCCTTCTCACAGGAGGGGCACTTGTAGGGCTTCTCGCCCGTGTGCACGCGCCGATGGCGCTGCAGGTCCGAGGCGTACTTGAAGCGCTTTTCACAGTCGGGGCACTTGAGGGGCTTCTCGCGGGCCGGGTCGCAGCGGTGCTGCACGAACTCGGAGGAGGAGAAGAAACGTCTCTCGCAGAGCGTGCACTTGAGGGGCTTCTCGGCGCAGTGGGCCAGCTGGTGCTTCTGCAGCGCCGAGGCCCGCTTGTAGGACTTGTTGCACACCGCGCACTTGAAGGGCCGCTCGGCGTTCTGCACGCACTTGTGCCGCAGCAGCTCCGAGGACTGGTTGAAGCCCTTCTGGCACACGTTGCACTTGAAGAGGTTCTCTATGCCGTGCACGTGCTGGTGGTACACCAGGTGCGAGGGCTGCACGAAGCCCTTCTCGCACAGGTTGCACTTGAAGGGCTCCTCGGCCTTGTGCGTGCGGCGGTGGCGCATGAGCGCGTACTGCTGCTTGAAGCTCATCTGGCACAGGTCGCACTTGAAGGGCCGCTCCTCGCTGTGCGTGCGCTCATGCTGCCGCAGGTCCGAGGGCCGCTTGAAGGCCTTCTGGCACTCCCCGCAGCGGAAGGGCCGCTCGCCGCTGGGCGTGCAGGGGTGCTGCAGCAGCTCGGACGACTCCTTGAAGTGCAGCTCGCAGACGTTGCACTTGAAGAGGTGCTCCCCCGAGTGCGCGTACATGTGGCGCACCAGGTGCGAGCGGTGCTTGAAGGTCTTCTCGCACACCGTGCACTTGTAGGGCCGCTCCGAGCTGTGCGTCCGTTTGTGGTGCACCAGGTGGGACGACTGGCTGAAGCTCTTGTCGCACAGCGTGCACTTGTACGGCTTCTCGCCCGTGTGGATGCGCTCGTGCCGGGACAGCTCCGAGAGGTGCTTGAAGGTTTTCTGACAGATGGAGCAGCTGTAGGGCTTCTCCGAGGGATCGAGGGGCTGCGGGTGCTCGGCCTCGGGCGGCTTGTAGGTCTTCTCGCAGATGGAGCACTTCATGGCGTTGCCGTTGTGGACGTTGTGGTGTTGCGCCAGCGAGGTTAGGAGGGAGAAGCCCATCTTGCACACACCGCACACGAAGGGCTTCTGCTCCACCTGGATGCACTGGTGTTCCAGCAGGTCGGTGGCTTGGTGGAAGATCTTCAGACACTGCGTACACTGGAAAGAGCGGTCATGGCCCGGCAAGCACTGGTGCTCATGGGGGTTGGAGAGGTGAGTGAGGTCGTGGCCGCACACCCCGCATTTGTGGGACGGCTCCCCAGCCTGCAGAGGGGCGTGCTGGTGGTGCTGCAGGCCCGGGTCCGGCTGCAGCAGGATGCCGTAGACGGCACAGCCCAGGGGGTTTTCGGCGGTGCTGGGTGGGATGGAGTGTTCCGGGAGGGCGGTGGTCCCAGCGTGGTGCTGCTGCGGAGGTGGCGGCGGCTGCTGCGGTTGCTGCTGTTGCTGCTGCCAGCTTTCTGACATGCTTGGGAAAAAAAAACAGGGTTTTAGGAGTGACAGCTTCAGCTTCTCGGTCAGAAAGGTTCAAGTAAAAATAAAAATCAAAAGCATCCAAGACTCTGATTCCCTGTACCAATCCTGAAATTGAGGACAGGAAACCCAGCCCACAGCCAGGATCCTGGGGAGTGAGGAGGCCGAGACGCCACGGGCTCCTCCTTGGATCTGCAGAAGTTCTTTGTGGACTGCGTGTTCCGGTTTTCTGCTTGGCTTTTTCTCTTTCCTTCTCTTGGACAAAAAAAAAAAAGTCAGGCAGGTAGAAGCAAGTGCCTTGAAGACAAGAGGAGGCCCTTCTCTGTGCCGGCTGTGATGTGCGCACACACAGGCAGGGCGAGCGATGCAGCACAGGGAGCAGCTCTGCCTGCAAGAAGAAGACAGTTCATGTCAGATCTCAGACGACAGACAGGCAGCTGTCCAGTCAGGTGAGCTCATGGCTCACCTTGCAAACTCTCTTGCACCCCTGCAAAGCACCTGGGAGCCCAGGGAGGGGAGCCGACCAGAGCTGGAGCACTGCATGCTGCCAGGACTCAGTGTAGAAAGAGACAGACCCTGCCTGGCCAACACAGCCATGGATTTGCCTGGTGAGCTCTCACACGAAGCAGTAGAGGCTGCCTCAGTCCCCATTGGGCCCAGGATGCAATGTGGGGTCTGAGCAAAATGCTCCCCTGCAAGCTCACCCATTTCTACCAGAGCAGCTCTGGCAGGGTGAACACATCTATCTGTTACTCTGTGCGAGCTGTGGTGTGCTAAATGCTGTGCAAAAAAGCTACCGAGTGAAATGTCACAAATACCAGGGCAGATTCCCACCCTAGAAAGGCAATTCTGCCAGTCCCAACCTCCTCCTGAAGCCCCAGCATCGAGCACATTAACCTCTGACAGAGCCAAGGGAGGGAGGTACTCATGAATTTTCCTCTCTGCCTGTAGGAAGAGCCAGAGAAGATAGAGAAGGGTTTGCCCTTGGTGTTACCCTGCCTGCAGACAAAACAGAACCTGCAGGCATCGTGCAAAGCACAGTCAAAGAGGCACTGCAGCAATGGCTTGGCAGAGCCTTCCTCCAAAGTTCAGGATAACAGCACGCTGGGGCCCAGCACCTTGCCCCAGAGGTACTGCTTGGCCTTGCTGTATGGTTCTTCTCACAGATAAAATCCAGTATTGACCAAGAGAAGAGTAAACTCCACCAGTGAGCAGCGGGTATGAACAAGTGACAAGACACTTCAACAGCACAGAAGCATCTATCCTTGGGCAAGAGGCAGCAGCAGGCACTGCTGGGCCACAATCCACATCCCCTCAGTGCCTCTGTGCTACAGGGCAGGGCATCGCTTCGTCCTGCAGCACCAATCTGAGCAATACAGCACCCAGAGGCCCACGTGCCAGGCTGGTTTCCTCCAGGACCTCAGTCCTTTTGTGCTGACACCTGGAGCAGATGCTGCAGGCAGGATACAGCCCCTGCCCCCTCGATGCCCCGCAGGAACATGGCATTGCTTTGTCCCCCAGACAAATCTGGGCAGCACAACACCCAGAGGCTCCTGGTGGGCCAGGCCAGGGTCCTGCCAGGACCTGGGAGCTCAGCTCTTTCGCTCTGACACCCGGAGGAGAAGCTGAGGGCAGGATATGGTCCCCCTCGGAGCGGCTTTGCCCTGCAGACCGGGCCGGCTCCCAGCGGAACCTCCAGCAGCAGCCCGGGGCTCACCCTGTGCTGAGCCTGCAGCACGGGCCGGGGTCGTGGCGCTGGGGAGCCGTCCCACCGCACGGCGTGCAGTGCCATCCCTGCGGGCTGCGGCAGCACCTCATCCCGGCATCACCACCCCATCCCGGCATCACCTCCCCATCCGGGCATCACCACCCCATCCCGGCATCACCTCCCCATCCCGGCATCACCACCCCATCCCGGCATCACCACCCCATCCCGGCATCACCACCCCATCCCGGCATCATCACCCCATCCCGGTATCACCACTCCCTCCCGTCCCAGCATCATCACCCCATCCGTTCCAGGCAGCAGCCCGTACCGACCTGCTTTACCGGGACCGGCTCCGGGTCCCGCTCATCCCTCGGAAGGAGCGCCCAGACGGAACGGAGGCACTTCCAGGCCGGGCTCAGCGGGCGGCGAACAGCTTCTCGCCCGGGGCTCCCCGCAGCCCGAGCCCACCGCCGGGCCCGCCCCGCCCGCGGCCCGCCGCCCCCATGGGCCGCCCCGAGGCCCCGCGGACGCGCGGGGGGCAACTTCCCGCCGGCCCGAGGCCCGCACAAAGGGCCCTCACCTGCGGCGGGAGGCCCCGCTCAGCCCGCTCGCTACCCGCGGGCGGGGCCGCGGCCTGCTCGCTCCGCCCGATCCCCGCGCTCGCTTGGCGGCGGCGGCGGGCGGCGGGGCGGGGAGGGCCGGGCCGGGCGGCGGAGCGGAGCGGAGCGGAGCGCAGGAGGCGGAGCGCGGCCGGCGCACGGCGCCCCCTGTCGGGCGGAGCGCGCAGCGCAGCGCCGCCATGAGCGCGACGCTCGTGGGGTACAGCAGCTCCGAGGATGAGGAGGAAGGAGGGGGGGGGACGCGGGGCAGGTGGGTGCCGTGCTGCCGTGCGGCGCCGAGCCCGGCGCGGGGGGAAACCGACGCGCTTCTTTCTGTCTTGCAGCCGCCGCCTGCCCGTCCCCGAGTGCGTGCTGGCCATGTTCAGCGAGGAGGAGCGGGAGGAGAAGCGGGACGACAGCTCTCGGCACGGCGGCCGCGTGCGGTGCTTCCCACACGAGCGGGGCAGCTGGGCCACGCACGTGTACCTGCCCTGTGCGTGAGCTGGGGCGCGGGGCCGGGCCTGGGGCTGCGGGGCGGCGTGCGGGGCATCGCTGACGCCTCGCCGTGGGAGGGCGGTGCGGCCAGGCACCGCTGCCCGGAGCTGTGGGTGCCCCGGCGCTGGAGGTGCCCCAGGACGCGGGCGGGCACTGGGGGGCCGGCAGCCTACGGCAGGGCTTGGAGCTCAACAGGCTGTACGGTCCCCTGCAACCTCTGCCGTTCTTTGTGCCCCACAGACCAGGCCCAGGAGGAGTTCCTGGAGCTGCTGGAGCTGCTGGCGTCCCACGCTCGCACCTACGTCCCGTCCCTCACTGCCATGGAGGAGTTCCACGTCAGCCTGTCGCAGAGTGTGGTGCTGCGCTACCACTGGATCAACCCCTTCATGCAGAGCCTCAAGGAGCGCCTGGCCTCCTTCCACAGGTGGGGACAACTGAGTCCCTGGGCAGCTGCTGTGGGCCTCTCATCCCACTCTTTAACAGGGCCTGTTGTGATAGAATCATAGAATCATAGAACGGCCTGGGTTGAAAAGGACCACAGTGCTCATCTGGTTCCAACCCCCTGCTGTGTGCAGGGTCACCAACCAGCAGCCCAGGCTGCCCAGAGCCACATCCAGCCTGGCCTTGAATGCCTGCAGGGATGGGGCATCCACAGCCTCCTTGGGCAACCTGTTCCAGTACCTCACCACCCTCAGGGTGAAAAACTTCCTCCTAACATCCAACCTAAACCTGCCCTGTCTCAGTTTAGGATGAGAGGAAATGGTTTCAAACTAAAACAAGGGAGATGTAGACTGGATATAAGAAAGAAGTTCTTTACACTAAGATTGGTGAGGCAGTGGCACAGTGGTGCCCCATCCCAAGGTCAGGCTGGAGGGGCTTTGAGCACTGATGGAGCTGTGGGTTGTCCCTGCTCATTGCAGGAAGTGGGACCAGATGGCCTTTAGGTGTCCCTTCAACTCAAACAGTTCTATGATTCTATGAAATTCCATCCCTTCTCCGTCTTCTGTTTGTGTTTGTTTTTTTTTTTTCCCTAGCTGAAACAGTTTCTATCTCACTTCAGATTCTTCTGTGTGGCTGACCGAGTGAAGGTGTACACCAACCAGAACAAAACCAGGTGAGCGAGCAAAGGGGAACAGTGCCAGGCAGGTGAGAGCGGAGAGCTGCCCGTGCCATCCCACACCATGGCAGGGAAGTCCACGGAGGGGCAGACCCTGAAGTTTCAGATCTTTGTCCAGCCCCTTCCAGCAGCGCCCTGGGGTGCGTGTGTTTTTAGTTTCTCCATCAGTTCTCTGCAAGCTGTTATTGTCTTGTGGGGACTGAACCTCGGGCTGCAGAATTTCAGCCTTCTGAAGTTAGGAGGAGGGATGTGTTCCCAACGTGGCCTGAGGCAGCCTTTCTGCTGGGGTTGGGTGATGCTGCAGCTTCACATCCGCTCTGCCAGAGAGACAGCCCTGCACATTGCTGTGCTGATCTCGTTGGCTCTGTGGTTGCACAGATCCCTGTGCCAGCTGGGAGAGTGGGTGAGGGAATGAGCAGCCTGGGGCCAGCGGAGTGGAGGCCACCTCCTTTGGCAGCACTGCCAGCTTATGCTGATGGTGAAATTGCATTGTGAGTCTTCAAAGGGCTGGAGACAAACAGCTCTGGCAGCGCTAACTCACCTGGGCGCCAGCTCAGAAGCCTGATGGTGCTGCTTCCAGTTTAACAAAATGAAGCAATTTAAATGCCAAAGCACATTAAAGAGAAAGGTGATTAAAATTATGAAAAGCTGCTGAATCTAATGGGAATGGAAAACCACATCAGCCATGGGCAGGAGGAAGCAGGTCTTTGAGGAAGACTTGTCCAGCCTCCCGTCGTGCGGTCAGACGCAGGCGTATGAGAAGTGTCACCACGACGGTCCTCATGAGGAACCTCTTTGTCACAGCACTTCCCCATCCACACTGTTCTCAGCTGGTGCTTTGCAGCCACTTCCTCTCCATTGTACAACTCCTGTAGCAACCTCCATCCTCTCAAAGCCATACGGCTCTTGCACAGGGCTTTGCTGAGATACTCACGTGTGTTCTGGTCTTTGTTTAGGACCTTTGTAGGTTTGGAAGTCTCTACTGGACATTTCCAGCTGCTGGAATTGGTCTCAGAGGTGGACAGGGTTATGGAGGAATATGACCTCCCCGTATTTTACAAGGTGAGGCCTTTCCCTGCTGGTCTGGAGGTGCTGTCTGGTTCCCTGTGAAGGGTTGGGGCCTGACTGGTCTGTGCTGTGTTCAACGTTAAATAAACAGGAGTGGAGAAATTGGGCTCTGAAATGGTTTTCCACGGGCCAATCAGTGGCATTCACAGCTAACATCCTGAACAGGGTCTTGCTGAGAGTGGGACTTGCACAAGTATGACTTCTGTTTTGTGCCCTGGATGGGAGAGTAAGGATGTTAACTAACTGGTGCCCTCTGGGAGTGGGGCAGAGTCGGGGAGGACCCTCATTTCCAGCGCTGTCACATTTCAGCTCTGCAACCACGGGTCTGGCTTTGGGGCTCCCTGCTTTGCGATCCTCCTGACCGTGAATGCAGAGCATTCCAAGGCCCCAGGCAGGGCAGCACCGCACTGAATCTCCCACTGCAGTGAGCAGAGCCTCCTTTCATCCTTGTGATCCAATCCCTGCTTTATCTTCAGGACCCATCGTTCCACATCAGCATGGCCTGGTGCGTCGGGGACCTGAGTGGCAGCCTGGAGGGGCAGTGTCTGCAGGAGCTCCAGGTGTGTGTCCCCACATGGGCACGGGGGAGAGCCAAGCAGAGGGAGTTTGCTTCTGTGAGGCAAACTCAGCTTGGCTGAAAGAATGGAGGCTTTGGGCGGGGGGGACAGAGGGAGGTCAGCGAGTTGAGTCACCTTGCCGAAGAACAGCCACAAACCTGTCTCTGACTCGGTTCTGGGATGGAGCAGCCGACTTCCCCCTCCAGCAGCCGGCCCACCCAGCCTCCCTGTGCTCACTCCTGCCCCTGCTTGTGTTTTTCAGGACATTGTGGACAGGTTTGAGGACTCGGCGCGCATTCTGCGTGTCCAATGGGAGCAAATCCGCTGCAAGTCAGGCAACAAGTTCTTCTCCTTCCCCTTGAGGTAGGACCTGATGGGGCTGTGCATCTCAGAGCCCAAAGAAAGACCTGCTGTTCAACAAAGAGCCGTTCTCCAGCACAGCTCCAAACACTGGAGGCTGCCACACGCCTCCCACGCTCTTCTTGTCTGCTCAGCAGCTCTGGGAAGTTTGTGGTCTCAAGCCACGCAACTTCCAAGTCTGAGTTGTTGGCTAAAGAAATGTGTGTTTGCAGATTTCTTACAGCGGCGTGCTGTCAGCAGCCAGGATGTGCTGCTGTCAGCATTGGTGGCTCCAGTCAGAGCTGCTAATTTTGCTGATTTTAAGAAAGAAAAAAAACCAACCCTCTCTAAAAGCCGTAGATGCCTTCTGTTTAGGAGAAGGGAGGTCGCGTGGGAAGCAGTTGCTGAAGGCAGCTTGTCTCGCGCAGTTGGAAGTGGCAACTGTCATTGTCTGGGAGGCTCAGGGCTGACTGCTGAGCTCAGTTGTAGCTCTGAAAAACAAGAAGGCAGGGATGCAGCAGGGCATCTCCCTACCGTAACGCAGCCCACAGAAACTCCTGGGTCACATCTGCGGCCCTCTCACGCTGCTGCTGCTGCCTCTGCAAATTGCAGTATGAGATCCCGTCGCCAAGACTGAATCGTGGCGATTGCATCTTGACGGAGAGGCTTTACAACGACGACTTTGAGGTTATTTGAGTCAGAAGGCCGTGTTCGCAGGGCTGTCCCTGCCGTCGCGTTACGGCGAGCCCAAGAGAGGGCACTGTCGGCTCTCGCACCGCGGCCCGGTGGGCGTTCTCGCTCGGTCGGGGGGTGGCACGGGGGCTTCTCCATAAAGCGGCACCCACCGCGCTGGGCTGTCCCTGCGCTGCCCGTGGGCGGACTTTTGTCCTCGGGAAAAGGCCCCTTCTGTCCTTTGTTCCTGCTGCGCTGCCCTCCATCTTTCGTACCGCGTTTATTGATGAAAGACTGCCAGAGTCCTTCCGGGCAGTAAAACGCGTCTCACAGCGTTGTTTCTGTGCTACATCTGAGCCGCTCCGCCTCTGATGCGCCGTCGGCTCCGAACGAGGCGATGCCCGCGGCGCTCCTGGGAGCAGAGTGCGCGAAGAGCATCGCCGCGCGGCGCGGCCCGCAGCCCTCACGGCCACGGGGCGCATCTCCCCGTGCCTGCCAGCCGCCCCGCAACTGCGGGTTTTACATTAACCGAACTCCCGGGGGCAGCGGGAGGGAGAAGCGGCAAAAGCGGCGCGTCGGCTGGTTACAAACAACCCCGTCCTCGCCGCTGT